TGATAAGTGAAACTTTTAGTGCTCAGAAATATATTAAAGCAATAAGCATAATTGTTTAAAATTACATTTTGTTCATGTGCAAGCTGGAATAGACTCACCTGAATTCTTGAAAAACCTGAACTTAACGAAAGCAAAGATAGCAGCAAGAAGCAGAAACATAACTCCAAGAGGGATCAAAACTGACAGAAGAACCTTGGAATTATTATCTTCTGTAGGGCTGGAAAAGAAATTGAAATGACACAATAGTGATTTTAAAATGGTAGCTCCAAATGCCAATACTTTTCAGAAAGAGAATTCACAACCCAAATTTAGAATAAAGAACTAGACATTATCCCCTACCCTTCATAGTGATTTTTACCCAAAGGTTCAAGTTCTCAGATTTGGTTATAACTTATAAAACAAGTAGATGCTCCACTTTATTTACATCCCTTAATGAAGCAAGATCCATTGGACCTAAGGCATCCTTAAGACATCCACAGAATACTGCCTTTTCATTGAAGTACTATCTACTCTAATTGGCGGCAGCAGTTCAGGACATCCAGTAAAAGTCCAGGACCCTTTCCTATCCCTGTTATAACCAGATGAAATTCTCTTCTTCATAGTCTGCTTCTTCATCCAGGTCAATCATATGACCATTTTGATTCCAGAGATGAATGCAGTACTAGGAGAGTTTCCTGGGGCCATGTTAAGTCACAAACTGAACATACTCCTGAGAGATGCTGTGGTATTAAAAAGACCAGACCACCTGGTATAACAATCAGACCAGTGTGCTTCAACCAAATCACCACTACATTAGAAAAATGTGAATGGATCAAATTGGATTCAGCTGGTTAACTGCTTTTGAAAAAGGGGCCAGTCAATTTTAATCACTATGTTGTTGTTGTTCAGTCACACATTCGAGTCTGACTCTATAGGCTTTTAGTAAAAATGACCAGGACTTACATTCTGTGACAAAAAGTTCACAGAAAATGAAGGAGCACTATACTTTTTTTAAGCATCCAGAGTTGGGCACAGCATGGCAAATAGTGCCTGCCTAGATGATAAGTTGACATGACTGAGCCTTTTCTTGCTGTTTTGAGCATCAAGATATAATGGCAATGGTTACAGATGCATTTAATCATAGAACTGCCCTGATCTTGTAGAAAGAGGGAACAGAGGTCTGATATGAAAATCAATACAGATATCTCCTACTCCTACAGCATACCTCCCTGCAACTCCTCACCTTAAGTACTTTTCTCACAGCCAAGCACACTTGGAGTATCAAAGCTTGACTGAGGAGAAAAGTGTCTCTGGAAGAAACTACAAGGAAATATAGCAAGAGCATAGATGATTCTACACTCTGCACATGTGTGTTTTGCATTGCCAATGAGACTCCTCCTCCTCCTTTCTGTGTTCTTTGGGCATTGCTGTATATAAAAATGTGGACATTTAGTAGTCACATCTCTTTTGGCTCTCAGCAAGCATAAACAGTCATTGTACTCGTTCCTTAAAATATATCTATTAAATGCAATAGCAAAATGGGAACCCCCTTCTTCCCTTTAGACTCCTTTGCTTCTCCATAGATGATGCACTCAGATATCATCACTGGAGGTTTTTACAGCAAGTAGGTTACCTCTCTGTTGGACTTTCAACTCCAGCTGCTATCTTGGATTTCCTTAAGCGAGAGTCTATCCCGAAAATAGCAGCATCATTGTTGGATTCTGCACTAGGAGCTTCTTCAGACCCCGGAAATGCTGTTTAGGAGTGTTTGTGTAATTGGTATTCAGCAGCACATGAAAAAGCAAAAGGAAGGAAGAAATGAAATACTGCATTCTACATAACTATATGATATGACCTAGAGTTACATCCTGGACACGGAACAAAGTTTGAGTCTAGTGACATTTTTAAGACTAACAAGTTTTTATTCAAAGTGTAAGCTTTTGTGTGCAAAACCTTGTTGGTCTTAAAGGTGCCACTGGACTCAAACTTTGTTCTGCTGCTTCAGACCAACACCTGAACCCCACCTGAATTTTTCATCCTGGACACAGTTCAGGTGCAGAAACTCTACTGTAATAATTTATACAATATAATATCTAAATATTGCTAAAATATGCCCCAGGTAACTTTGGAGATACTGAATGAGTATTAAAAGGGTTCTGCCCCGGATTCTATAACTGCATTTTTTTTTTACTATAGTAATTTTTATAAAATTTGTGCTCTCTTTTAATTTTATCAAAGACCCAATGTCAGAAGTGACAATTTTTGTAATGCAACATAGGATACAGCTTTCCAGAAAAATCTAAGAGCCAGTTGGCCTTAAATACTTATAAGGTAGAAATGTGAAAAGCAGTTTGGCTTAGGTGCATTTCATATGGTTATTTTCCGTATTTTAATCAGTCATATTGGCTATATAAAATGATCAACACAAGACTAATAGGCACTTTTTTAAAACAAGGGAATTAGACTTTGGGCATGCAATATTTATCCCACGATAATTGCACAAAATCATAGAATAGACATCATGCTGGGCTGCATCTTTTCATGTTCTACAGGGTGGGGGTGGTGTCTGGACTGAGGCTGCAGCATGTTGGAATAGCAATAACACTGGATCCCACTACAGCAAGGGGAGAGATATTTAGAGGATTAATTAAGTTATAAAGTTATCCAACAGATAGACTATGAGTCAGATGGATTGATGTTACCTCGCAACCAATGCTCCCTCCAAGCTGTGGAGTCTTGTGAGCAAAAATTCTACTTTGTGAGCTACTGGCATTAATATTGGCTGCTGCATAAATTAGTTTGCTCTGGAGCCATCTTTCCTGAGCTAAGACAAAAATGTGTGAGCCAGCTGTTAGAAAACTGTGAGCTAGCACATACTAACTCAGCTTAGAGGGAACACTGCTTGCAACTGACTGGACCTGCAAGTTTCTCTGCTACTTTCTGTTTTGCATACTCATCTTGTTGTATTGACTGCAGGCTGCAGACCAGAAGATGGCTATGCACTGATCCTACTCCAAATGTGGACTAGTATGGTTACCTGTTCTGTGTGTTTAAAAACCAGGTAATTTTAACTTCTTCAGTAAAATGTGTGATCATTTGTTAACAGCCACACTAAGCTTTCAGCCCCCAGTTCCAATTGCCCAATGGCATTCCAGTGGCCGGCCGGAAGGAGGGGGATAAAGACAAGAGTATTATGTCATTTCTGGGGGAAACCAAGATATGAAGTCATGTCATTCTAAGATTAACTGGAAAACCTGTTAAAATTCCTAGAGAGGAATGACATCACTTCCAGGTTTTCCCCAGAAGTGATGTAACACTGTCACCCAATGGCACCCCTCCATGTCCTTGATCCCCTGGACTCCTGCCACTCCCATCACAGCATAGGGTTATTTATTTACAACATTTCTACCCCATCTTGCCATCCCTGTATGGCAACATTCAAGGTGGCTAACAGTATACAAAACAAATCAATCCAGAGCCAAAAAAACTACCACCTATCATTAAAAACAGAATAACAAAACAGAAGCCACTGAAATAAAACAGTGTATAAATACATCAAAATCAGGACAGTGACACACACCCACAAACATGATTTCAGAACTGGATTCAAGGCATGCTGAAACAGAGAGTATATGTCTAATGGTGAGCAAGAGAGGTAGCTGAGCCTTCTAATGGGGCAAGAAAATTTATTTGCCTGGGTGCTACCATGACTTGTGTACTTAACCCACCAAGCTTCAGAAATCAATGGCTTCCTTTAACTATCAGATGGGTGGATTCATATGGGAAGAGACAATCCTTGATCTGCTTATTATGTGGTTGGCAGCAGAACATAGAGGGGCCACTCAAGTATCTGCTTGTTCCTCCTTCAGATCAGATAGCCGCTCTGAAGGGGGAAACTGAGTTCAGGTTCCCCTCTTGCCATTCTCTATATCAGGATCAGTCTTCCATCTCTGGGTGTTATTATATCTGGGGGGAGCCACAGGAAATCCATTCACAGATCCATTCACTAGCCCTTATGCTAGTAATGTTTAAATTCTTTATTTTACTCTTTTGGGAACAAAAGGGCATTCTCACCCAGCACGTAGGGTTGCCAGGTACCTGCTAGAGAAAGAGATCTCCTACCCCCAGCTCCTGTAGCCAACAGAAAAAAAAAAGTTTAAAAAATGCCATTGGTGCAATGGCATTTCATCACTTCCAAAGGAAACCTGGAAGTGATGTCATGCCTTGAAGCTGCTTTGAACCATGAAGAAAGGTGAGGTATAAATGTTTTAATAAATAAATAAAATAAACAAATGCCTCTTTAGGAATCACTGGAAACTCTATAGTAAAACAGTAGGTTTTACCATACTCTTTTCCTTGGATGTGACATAATGTCATCTTGCCAACAGCATACCCCAATGTCCCTGCCCCCCCCAAACTCACACCAACTGGCAACCCTACCCTCCAGCACACATAACATTTATAATACTTTATGCTATGGTAATATTCTTAAACACATCCAGAATGCTTTTTCAGGTATGTCTCATCACCCCCACTGTTCTCCTAGGAGTTTGATGGAGCTGGGTCATTGCAAACAGGAGGGTGGAGACCTCCATGAACAGCCTGAAAGTTCATGAAAAGTTTGTGCTGGTTGACCTGCCATGAACTTCACTTCACAAACCATGAACCAGCCAAATTCATCACGAACTTTAGTTCGTGAGCCGGGTCATGCCCATCCCTAGTAATAGACAGAATATAATTGGTTTTCCTTGTGATCAGAATCAGACCTTACCTCCTTGAATTCTCAGATATACTGCCATGGTTTCCCCATAATGACCTTCATGTTTTACTCCACACCAATACCACCCTTGATCTGTTGGTGCCACTTGGTCAAAATTCAGAGACAAAATTCTACTGTCTTGATCACAGTTAACTACCAAGCCAGTTTGGTTTTGTTCATATGAGATGAGAGGATCACATGCAGTATTCTTCCACTTGCACCAGTATTTACTGTAGCTATAATATTTGCATGGATAAGAGCATGTCATGGACAAAGGAGAGCCAGGGACAACGATGATTTCCTTCACTCCTCTCAAATTGGGTTGCCCTGTTTCAGAAGAGAAAAATAATGATTAATGTAATCACTTAAAATCAAGTAACCTGATCTTTACATACATATGTGCCATCAAGTTGCAAGTGACTTATGGCAAGCTCAGCAAGGGGCTTTCAAGGCAAGTGAGAAGCAGAGGTGATTGGCCATTGCCTTCTTCTCCAGAGCCTTCCTTCGTGGTCCCCCATCAAAGTACTGACCCTTCTTAGCTTCTGAAATCTGATAAAATAGGGCTATGCCATGCAACCTTCCCTTCCTCTAATCTGATATTTAACCTTATTAAAATTAATTAATGGTTCACACAGTTCATTGCATCATCACCCACAGGAGTGGAGCTCCAGTGGTAAAGAGCCCAGGGGGCGGGCACATGCAACAAGCCCCACCCCCTACTCCCAGCAGCCCTCAATCAGAGGAAGAAGCAGCCAGGTAAGTTGCAGATCAAACAGGTCCAAAACAGTCCAGTGGCACCTTTAAGACCAAGTTTTATTCAGGTACAAGCTCTCCCTCCTCTGTGAGGACAGATCTGCACGTTCCCCCCCCCCAATAGCTAGCAATCCAAAACAGTCCAGTGGTGCCTGAGCGGTGGGTGTTGCCTTCTGACATACTTCCGGTGATGTCAGGGGGTGTGGCATATGCAAATGAGGGGGGTGTGGCATATACAAATAAGTTATGTTAATGAGCTCCTGCACCTCTTTTTCTATGAAATGACCCTTGATCATCACCATACTCCCATGTACCAAACCTAACCTGACCTGACTTCCCTAGGATATGTACAGATTAGATACACCTAGTACCTGAACTAGGCACTTACGAATAGGGAACATTTATTTTTACCAGCTGTGGTTTTAAGAATCCAGTGGGTTTTCATGTCCCATTTTCCTCAATTTTCCACACGCTCCCACAACCTTTGACTCACTCATCTGCCACTCTGAAGGTCTGTCAATCCCCTGGCTGCATTGCCTCGGCCCCGTCCACAGAGCCGGCAGCCAGTGTCTCGCCCTCAGTCTGGAGGGAGCAGGTGAAGTGGATGGACGCTTCTCTGAGAGAGTGGCAACCCCTCCACGGGGGAGAAGGAGGCAACCTAGCAAGGTGGAGAGCAGGGGAAGCACTCACCTTCGCTGCCCCTCGCAGCCCCTCTCCTTCAGCCGCAAGGCCGGTGCTTCGTCAGGGTGATAGCTCAGCGGGCTACACCACAGAGAAGGCTGCCCAGCACCTTTCAAAGGCTCCCCCGTCTTCCTTCAGCAGCAGCGGCAGCACCAGGGAGGGTCTGGCTTAGAGGAAATGAGCTGTGGCTCCTGGAAAGCTGGACTCTCTCCTGAGAAAGGCACTTCTATTGGCTCCTGTGTGGGACTAACTATGACTAACTGTCCCCTCAGTCTGGAGGGAGCCTTTTTGGCTCCATCATGGCTGGCTAGCTAATGAGGTGGGCCAGCAACAATCAAACCATTCTCTTTGACCCCCTGCTGTGTGGCTGACTTTTCCATAGGGTTGCCAGTCTCCAGGTGGGACCTGAAGATCACCAGCTGTTACAATTGATCTCCAGATGATGAAGAAGAAGATTTATATCCCAGCCTTCATTACCCAAAGGAGAGCGGCTTACAAACTCCTTTCCCTTCCCCTCCCCACAACAAACACCCTGTGAGGTAGGTGAGGCTGAGAGAGCTCTGACAGAAACTGCTCTTTTTCAAGAACAGTTGTGCCAGAACTATGGCTTGCCTAAGGTCATCCAGCCAGGTGCAAGAGGAGGAGTGGGGAATCAAACCTGGTTCTCCCAGATTAGTGTCGGCGCACTTAACCACTACACCAAACTGGCTCTCCAAATGACAGAGATCAGTTCCCCTTGCGAAAATGGCTGCTTTGGAGGGTAGACCCTATGGCATTATCCCCTTCAGTGTCCTTCCATCCCCCCCAATGCTACCCTCCAAAGGATCCACCCCCAAATCTCCAGATATTTCCCTAATCAGAGCTGCAAACTGTACTTTCTCTTCAGTGCCTGTTGCCAGGCAACCAGGTTCTGTCAGTAAAAGGTCATTTCCACACCTATTTTGGTGTAGTGGTTAAGTGTGCGGACTCTAATCTGGGAGAACCACGTTTGATTCCCCACTCATAAGAACATAAGAACATAAGAGATGCCAATGTTGGATCAGGCCAAAGGCCCATCCAGTCCAACACTCTGTATCACACAGTGGCCAGAAATACCAGTGCCATCAGGAGGTCCACCAGTGGAGCCAGGCCATTAGAAGCCCTCCCACTGTTGACCCCCCCCCAAGCACCAAGAATACAGAGCATCAAAAAAATCTGTATCTGGTGCCTACTAGCCACTGGGGGACCTCTGCTCCATATGCTTATCTAATTCCCTTTTGAAGCCGTCCATGCTTGTAGCCGCCACCACTTCCTGTGGCAGTGAATTCCAAGTGTTAATCACTCTTTGGGTGAAGAAGTACTTCCTTTAATCCGTTATAACCCGACCGCTCAGCAATTTCATGGAGTGCCCACGAGTTCTTGTATTGTGAGAAAGGGAGAAAAGTACCTCTTTCTCTACCTGCTCTTTCCCATGCATAATCTTATAAACCTCAATCATGTCCCTCAATCATGTCGTTTCTCCAAGCTAAAGAGCCCTAAGCACCTTAACCTTTCCTCATAGGGAAAGTGTTCCAACCCTTTTATCATTCGAGTCGCCCTTTTCTGCACTTTTTCCAAAGCTATAATATCCTTTTTAAGGTGTGGTGACCAGAACTGCACACAGTATTCCAAATGAGGTTGCACCATTGATTTATATAGGGGCATTATGATATTGGCTGATCTGTTTTCAATACCCTTCCTAATAATCCCCAGCATAGCATTGGCCTTCTTTATTGCAGTCACACACTGTCTCAACATTTTCAGTTAATTATCTACTAGAACTCCAAGATCTCTCTCTTGATCAGTCTCTGCCAGTTCAGACCCCATCAATGTGTATTTATATTTAGGATTTTTGGCTCCAATGTGCATCACCTTGCACTTGGCCACATTGAACCCCATTTGCCATGTTGACGCCCACTTGCCCATCCTTGACAGATCCCTTTGGAGTGCCTCACAATCCTCACTGGTTTTCACCACCCTGAACAACTTTGTATCATCCGCAAATTTAGCCACTTCACTGCTTACTCCCATCTCCAAATCATTAATGAACAAGTTAAAAAGCAGTGGACCAAGTACTGATCCCTGCGGTACCCCACTGCTTACCACCCTCCACTGAGAAAATTGCCCACCTACACTCACTCTCTGTTTTCTATGAACTAGCCAGTTTTTGATCCATAAAAGGACTTGTCCTTCTATCCCATGATTTTTGAGCTTACTTAGGAGCCTTTGATGAGGAACTTTATCAAAAGCTTTCTGGAAGTCAAGGTAAATAATATCTATTGGATCCCCCTTGTCCACATGTTTGTTCACCCCCTCAAAGAACACTAACAGGTTAGTGAGACAAGATCTTCCCTTACAGAAACCGTGCTGAGTCTGCCTCAATAGGTTTTGTTCATCTATGTGCCTACTAATTCTTTCCTTAATAATGGTTTCCACCAATTTACCCGGTATCGACGTCAGACTGACTGGCCTGTAATTTCCCGGATCTCCTCTGGAACCCTTTTTAAAGATGGGAGTGACATTAGCTACCTTCCAATCCTCAGGAATGGAGGCAGATTTTAAGGAAAGATTACATATCTTTGTCAGGAGATCTACAAGTTCACATTTGAGTTCTTTCAGAACTCTCGGATGTATGCCATCTGGGCCTGGTGATTTTTCAGTTTTTAAGTTGTCTATCAGTTTTAGGACCTCCTCTCTCATCACCTCAATCTGACTCAGGTCTTCCAACACCCCTCCTGAAATCAGTGGTTCTGGAGTGGGCAAGCACTTCTCATCTTCCACAGTGAAGACGGAGGCAAAAAATGCATTTAGCTTCTCAGCCATTTCCCTATCATCCTTCAATACTCCTTTTACCCCTTGGTCGTCCAAGGGCCCCACTGCCTCCCTGGCTGGTTTCCTGTTTCTAATGTATTTGAAGAAAGTTTTATTGTTGGTTTTTACGTTTTTTGCTATATGCTCCTCATATTCCCTTTTTGCCTGCCTGACCTCAGACTTGCATTTTATTTGCCATAGCCTGTGTTCCGTTTTATCAGCCTCACTGTGACTAGCTTTCCACTGCTTAAAGGAATTCTTTTTACTTTTTACAGCCTCCATTACTCTGTTTGTTAACCATGCAGGCTTTTTCCTATACCTGTTTGTGCCTTTCCTAACCTGCGGAATATATATTTTTTGAGCTTCTAGGATCGTAGTTTTAAATAGATCCCAAGCTTCCCCAATTGTTTTGACCCTTTCTACTTTTCCTTTCAGTTTCCTCCCCACGTGTCCCCTCATATCAGAGAAATTACCCCTTTTAAAGTTAAAAATGGTTGTGTGAGTCTTTTTGGCCAATTCTCTATTTGTACAAATGATGAACTCAACAACATTATGATCACTGTTTCCAAGCGGTGCAATCACTTTTACATCTCTCACCAGGTCTTGAGTGTTACTTAGGACCAAATCAAGGATCGCCTCTCCCCTGGTAGGTTCCGTGACCATCTGCTCCATAGCACAGTCATTTAGAGTGTCTAGAAACTCAATCTCTTTTTCCCGACTAGAACACATATTGACCCAATCAATGTGTGGGTAGTTAAAATCACCTATTATTACACAGTGTTTTTGTCTAGTTGCTATCTTTAAGGCATTCATCATTTTATAATCCTCCTCTATCTTTTGATCTGGTGGGCGATAACAAACTCCCAGTGTTAAGTTTCCTTTTGGCCCCCCTATTTCAACCCATAGAACTTCCAGAAGCGAATCCAATTCACTTAGCCTCTCAATCTTTCTAGACTTTATACCCTCTCTGACATACAGAGCTACCCCACCTCCAACCCTTCCCCCCCTATCCTTCCGATATAATATATAACCGGGAATCACTGTGTCCCACTGATTTTCCTCATCCCACCAAGTTTCAGAAATACCCACAATGTCTATTTTTCCCTCCGACACCAAGCACTCCAACTCCCCGATTTTACCTCGGACACTTCTAGCATTTGTATAGAAACAGCTGTAATTTCCCTTACAAGTTAAGCCTGCATCCTTCCTCTTGCTATCTCGAGTCGTTGTCCGGCAGTCCATGTCACCAGCCATATCAGGCCAGTGGCCCATCCAGTCCAACAATGTGTCACACATCAGCCAAAAATACCAGGTGCCCTCAGGAGGTCCACCAGTGAGGCCTGAACCCCAGAAGCCCTCCCACTCTTGCCCCCCCCAAGCACCAAGAATGCAGAGCATCACTGCGTGGCCCGAATAAGGCAGGGATGGGGGCCTTGTCCTGACCGCTCCAGGTGGCCCGAACGAGGCAGAGACAGGGGCCTAGTCTGGGCCACGCCACGCAGACTGAACGAGGGAGGGACGGGGATGGGGGCCTTGACAACAGCATTGAACCCACGGCAGATAAATAAACCACTGCAGAAATGGTCTGAGCCACAGTAAGTGTAGCATCTTTTACATTATATGATTGAGGTAAGAAGTCTGTAATAAAACCAGAAAGTGGAGTACAAGTAGTGATAAGTTATTGTACCACATCTTGCTTGATTTTGGATAGCATACTGTGCAAAGAGGAGCTGGTTTGGATGAACAATTATAGCAATGTATAGAGAGCCAGATCCACAAACCAGTTTGGTTTAAATTATCTGCTCTGATCCTAAACACACTGGTCAAAAACAAGACAAGATTCAGCTCTATTAATTTCAATTGCAAAGTTAAAAATATGTTTAACTCTGAGTGCGGTCACACATGCCAGATAATACAGGGGGAAGCGAGGCTACTTGTTCCGTAGTAATTTGACCCACCACTGCATGATCAGATGCAACAGTAGGTGAATCAGGTTTTTTCCATCGCCATGTGTTTGCAGTGTGCTTCAACGAGGGATCACTGACGAAATGGGAGCTCGCTGGAGCGATCACACAGGGAAGTCCGTCTGCGGCCCATTGCAAACCCGTTTGATACTGCACTTTCCCCAGTATTTTTAACTCCTCTTCTTCGATGGAGCGAAACGGGTTGCCGACGAGTGCAGGACACTTGCCAGATGTTCCTGTGTGATCGCGCCCTTAAGATCTACCCGGCATTTTGTGCCTATCACGTGGCTAATTCTGTGTGTGATCGGGACCTCTGTTGCTCTTCTTAATATCAAAATGATTTTTTAAAAAAAATCTTAACTTTGGCTGAATTCTGCACATTAATTAGAATTAAGCACCTCCAAAATCAAATACAGTATCTAGGACTGAGACACTGGTCAGGTTAACTTCATGTAAGATATCTTTGCATAATCTGTTTTTGATACATTAGGCAAAAGGAGTGTAATGCAGTGAGATGTACAGCATAATTATCATTGTTTGGTACCTTCTACAATCTTTAGTTCCGTTGCTGACTTCTTTTCCTGTTCTCCGTCTGTCATACACCAATAGTATCCTGCATCATTCTCCTGCAGTTGGTTCAATATCACAGTAAAGGTGCCATTTTCTGGGTTATCGTGCATCACTATCCGTCCCTCATAGGAATCCAGCACATCCCCAAAGTTGTCTATTAATTGAGTGCACCCATTTATTTTCCACTTGCATAAGTATTTCAATGTGACATTTCCTTTTGGGTCATAGTAACATTCAACAGACACAGAACCATCCGGGACTCCCTTTACTAGAGCTTGTTCAGTGTTTCCTTTGGACAGCAAAGGCTCTGGACATAGAAAAAGAGCAATTGAGCTGTGCAAGTAGACATTTTCTTTATTTTAAAAACAGTTAAACAGATTCTGGGCATGAAACATGGGAGGTTTAGGTCGTAATCCTAAGAACACTATGCTATGAATAAGGCCCATTGAATAAAATGGGACTTCACAGTAGACCTGCTTAGGATTGCTCCATTAGGAACGGATGAACTTTCTGACCATTACCCACCTTCATAGACGTGTATATTCAATTCCTTTGTTTCTCCAGATGTCCCATACGACCCAACTCCACACAGGTACAGTCCTGAATCTTGCCTCTTTAGCTGGGTCATAAAAATATTGAATGATCCAGGAGCTTCATTATAGTTCAACAGAACTCTTCCTTTGTAGGATGGGTTGATATTTCCATAGGTGTCAATGACCAGGGAGCACTGGTTCTCTGTCATCCGACACAGGTATTTCCTTGCAGTGCCATAATCACTGCCAAAATCACATGATATAGTCACTGCTCCTTGTTGCTTAATGTAGAAGAGTTGAGCTTCTTCAGGCACTACTGAATCTGTATTAATAACATGTCAAATGAATAACAATACTAATTTTCCACTTTCCATTGTACCATCCCATAGGGAAATACATTGTTTTTGCAGTCCCAGAGGTCTGCAGAAATTCTTGGTTTATCCATTTCCTGGTGGGCCTCCACACATGGCTGATGAAGGGCATGCAAACTGTTGACTCATAAGTTGAGCATGCAGCCTTTACAATAGTGTCAAACGTTTTAAATTGCAGCAACACCCCTTAAAAAACATTTTTCTAAACTATCAAATTGCATACCAGCTTTGAAGGACACTCTGTTGGATTCAAGCCACTAAGTGGTAGCTTTCTATTCTGTGTAATGAAGAGTTCTGTGTAAGAAAAATTAATTCAATAAAAACTGGGCCCTGACTATTTCTCGTCTCACTTTCTTTAGCACCAACTAATCAGCAACCCTCTTTTCAGACCAGTAAAAATAAGCAAATAAGATGTCTGCATTTATCATTTTAAAACAATCTGGGATTTCAGAGCCTCTTTTTGTTATATAAAATAGGATGTTAAATGTACATTTTTTTACCTTCAGAAACATCCAGCTTGACTTTAAAGAACAGTTTATCATTTATACCAACACCACATTTGTAGGATCCCATATCACTTTTCCTGAGATCTGAAATCTCAATAGTGAACAAGCCATAATCTGGAAAGTCTGTTATTGTGGCTCTGCCTTCATATTCTCTTGAAAGATAGCCATTGGAAGAAACAATCGTTGAACACTGACGTGTTGATTCCTTGCACCAGTACTTCCTGTCATGTTTGTTTACCCTAGTGGCCTTGTAGAAGCATTTCACAGTGACAGAACCATGCAGCAACCCAGTCACCTGCCTTGGTCCAAGCATGGAACTTGAGGCTAAAACTGATAAAAAGAAATAACAATGCACATCACTGACTGTTGCTGTATTATTTATTTATACTTTGCTTTTCTCCCCCCCCCCCATGTTGGACCAAAGCAACGTACAACCTCATTCTTTCCTCCTCCATTCCTTGTTCACAACAACTCAATTAAGTACATTTGGTTGACAGCAAGTGACTGGCCCAAGATCTGTGGCAGAGTGTGGATTCGAACTTGGGCCTCCCAGATTCTAGTCCAAGACTCCAAGCACTAGACCACACTCACTCTTTAAAAAGACTACTATTATTGTAGAAAAAAGTAAAAGTCCAGTAACACCTTAAAAACTAACAAAAACATTTTTGGTAGGGTATGAGCGATCATGAGTCACTGCTCACTTCTTCAGAATGTGAGTCCATCTTGTCCTATATATTGGAAAGTGGAGAGATTTCAGATGCCAAATGACATTAGCAGGCAAATGATAATAGCAGGTGTGATTGGATTAGATGTGATATGCAAAGATGGTAGGCATGGAGAAACCAGCATTGGTAATGAGACATAAAACCTAGCTCTCAATTCAGTCCAGATGGATGCATTGTCTTGAGCTTCATTATCAGTTGCAGTTCAGCAGTCTCTCTTTCTAATCTCCCTTTGAAATTCCTTTGTAAGAGAACTGCTACTTTTAGGTCAGCAACTGAATGTCCTGGAAGGTTAAAATGTTTCCCCGCTGGTTTTCAAATGTTGTGGTTTCTGATGTCAGACTTATGTCCATCAATCCTTTGTCAAAGAGACTGGCCTGTTTGTCCAATGTAGAGGGTGGAAGGGCATTGCTGACATGTGATGGCATAAATCACATTAGAGGATGAGCAGGAGTATGTACCTGAGATGGTATGATCTTGTACTATTATTGAGAGAGTTTCATACTTAATGAGACTGAGGAAGGATCCACGGGTCAATGGGTATTGTATTCTTGTAACCATTCCCTTCCTGGATTTTCCCATTTCAGTAGCATAGTGGAGCCATTATGTTAAGTGGATGTTGCATACAAATAATCTATGATCTGAGTCTTATGTACACACATGGCAGGCAAACAGGTTTTACCATCTCCCCCAAATGTTCTCTTCATAATTGCCCCCTCCCCCCCACACACAATTTTGAATGAACTGGATTATGGCAAATGGTCACTTCAGCTTTGTTCATTCTTTCATTATGTAGTATATATAAGACTGCTGGATGCAATCCAGAGAAAATTAGATTAAAAATATTTTCTCACCTGGTGATGGTTGCCAGCTGGGAGAAACTGGGGGTGCAAGGACAGGCTTGCTGGTGTCATACTGACATTCGGCATCACTCATAGCGTCACTTACAGTGACATCATCATGTCAGGGTGATGCTTTAGTATAAGCATGCCAACCCCCTGTCTCTCAGGAGGGGTCATTGCAGCCACCAATGGACCCCATAGGGGTACCCCAGCACTCCATATACCAGGCATCTTGACATAAGTGGACACAAAGATGGACCCCAGGACTGGCAAGCCCTATAATCATGCCTAGGCATCAACCCTGGGAAGCATATACAATCTCATTCCAACAACTGCAACCCCTCCACCCTGCCAACATCTGCATACTCTGGACAATGGACTTGCCTTGCCCCAGAGCTACTTCTTTCAATCTTAATCACTAATCCTATCAATCCTACCTCATCTTTCCTCTTCACATTTCCTTTATAATAAGAAGTCCTGACTTCTGCTTCTTTCTCAAACCCCAAGCAGTATTGTTTCCATTTTGATTAGTTTAAATTGGCAATCCATTAGTTCTTCAACCACCGGAGAAGTAATCAGGAACCCAACCCAAATCATACTTTGCATCCAGAAGAGAATCTCTGGTCTCTTTTGTTCATTCCTGGGAACTCTATACAGAGTTTCCAAACTGTATTGTTTCACCCCTGATTAATCTCATCAATGTTTTGTTCTGAGGGACCCCACACATTAGCAAGTCCTCTGAACACGTTTGTGGGTATAATTGGCCTAGCGCAGCCCCATTGCTGTGTTTGTGTTCATGTTCTCCTGTGTGCCTGCCGACATGCATCCCCAGTATACTGGGTCGTTCCTCTCCATGAAGCACTGGTCGTTTCACCATCTCTCCTATTTCACAGATGTCTTCAGGAAAGGTAGCTATCGCCTCAGCCCCCTCTACTTTCCCACTCCTCTCTTTATTTTCCATAGATTTTGGATGTGTGTATGTTTCATGTGTGCTCCTTGTGTGTTAAACTCCTTAATCTCCCTTCAGTAAAACACTCTATTTTACTCTTGGACTGGTTATTGAGAGCTCTCTTAAAGGGAAAAATCACCATAAACATAGATCCTTGCTAATACCCCACTTCTCGCTGAGGCCTGCCATTTAGCTAAATTCCCCCAGAACCTGAAGGCAGCGATTCAGCTTCTTAAATCTAAGCTGGTGGGGGTAACATTAGGATTCACCGAAAACTCTATGGTTAAAGTGACATCACAATACCGGTCCCCCTGTGTGTTCATTTGCAATAGCACGATAGTAATTACCGATTTTAAGAAAAAATTAAAAGCCTTCTGGTGGCAAGCTAGGGAAGATGGTGGCCATGTCTTATTGAAAAGCCAAGTGCACTGTATGGCACTGTTAGGAAGGAGAACAGCCACAAACAAGTGACAAACCGATGAATAGTCTGTTAAAAAAAATGGCTACATGTTCTCAGTACAGTAGAATGGAATGTGAGCCAAACTGGTAGATGTTTGAACATTCCTAATATCAGGAAATCTGTGTACAGGTTTTCATGACTGATATGTACATTGCTTTGCATTGCTTACTTTTTTCAGTGTGATTTAAATGTACTAATATTTTCTGGATTGCATCAAGCATTACTGTTGATGTATCAAAATTGCAGACCTTACATTTTAATAGTTGCTGTTATTTAGCTTTATTTCTGTTTTAATTTCATTTTTTAAAAATTTTTAACTGTAGGTTAGAGCTGGTGTTCCATAGGATAGAAGCCAAAGGGTAAGAACTGTTTATTGAACTGCACACATTTACAGAAACTATTTAGATACCTATGTAAATGCTTGTGTATGTATGAAAACTACATGGTTTAGATTTTGAAATGGACTGAGGAATACACTAGATAAAATATACAGATATATAACTTTTCATAGAATATTTCATTGTTTCATTGTCTATTTCATTGTTTCACAGTAATAATGTGTTACATATCAGACTTCTTGATGATAATGTGCCTTGTTTGTTCTCAATAGTTAATGCTTGAAAAATATTGTACCATCGTTTGGCAGGTGAATTGGCCTTTTTGTTACTTTTTAACCATCAAAAGACCATTGTTAAGCCCTATTCTCACTTGTAACATTTTGGAAATAGAAGACTGCTGAATTTTGAATGTGCATGCATTAACATGCACAAATGTTTTGAGCAGATGCACTACTGTTGTTCTTGGTTCACCTGATGGTTGGTAAAATACTCACCATCTGCAGATTCGGCTTGGACAAAAACCAACAAAAAGATGAAAACAAGGAGAGTCATTTCAATAGAGGGTCTTGTATCTGAGCTGTCAGAGTCTTCTTACAGACTGAACTCTGTAAATAAACAAGTACAGTTGTAAATAAATGACTTGTAGGAGCTTAATTAGACATGTCAATGGCTACCTGCCAGTTAATAGGAGATCTGTAAACAAATTCATTGTTTGTTTGTATGTTAGTTTTAATGACAAAAGCAGTTGTTGGGAGAACATTTTTGACTGAGGTTGCAATACAGAAGTTGAGAGGGTAAGTCCTGTTTGTTGACACCACCAATATGTGGAACAAATACCTCTTCAAGGGGACTGCTTGAGGTTGGGGAAAGGGTGCTGGGTAAATGGGTCAAAACCTTTCCCTATGCTGTGTGTCTGAATATTGCTGTAAAACAAGCTTGGGAGGCTCATTAACAGATCTCCTAGTGTCTCAACTAATTCGGCCCTCACCAATTCTTACTATAGCTCTAGGAGGTAGACCATTTTTTGTTTTTTGTACTGAGTTTGAAGGGAAATTTTAACTGGGAGCTTCCCAGCTCGCATCTGAAATAATGAAGCTGCCTGAATACTATGAAGGTCAGTCTTGTCTATTTTCTCTGGCAGCAGCTCTCCAAGGCTTATTGTTCTAGTGGGACATTGATGGTCAGGAGGAAGCAGAGCCAAGTCCAGCAACTTTGTCAATACCTCAGGGGCCACGTGGCTTAGACCCTTCATCAGCAATGGTAGCTTGTGTCAGCTCACAAATTGTCTCCTCCCACAGTGTTGCCAATTTGGAGGATGAAGCAATGGTTGACCTAAAGCCCATTGTTGGCTCTGCTGAGCTGAATGGAGCCTTGTAATGCCACAGAGACCACTCAGCTGGGCTTGCTCCAGGGGCATTTTCACCTCCCAGTCTGCTCCTAACTGAATCCCTTTTACTAAATATGCTCAGGATTGAGCACGGGGTTCATGCAAAGCAGATGTTCTGCCACTGACCCACAGCCCCACCCTGATTTCTCCACACAATCCCACATATGTTTAATTGAAATTAAATCACAGTGAGCTCAATTGGGCTTCCAGGTATTTCATAGTACTTCATAGAGCATGGCAGACTTAGCCACTATTTTATAGAAATGATACACCAAGGAATATATAAAAGTATCCCAAAATAGGGTACGGTTAGTTTTAAATTCAGAAATGGAACCTGCATTCTCTAAAGTTGCTGTCAGTTCTGCTGGTATCGTCATTACGCACATATTGATTCCAAGAATATTCTTAGGATTATTTTCCTTCCTTGCTCAAAACTGCCTTGTATCTTTGTGTTGTATACATACTGTTTGCTTCATTAAATTTCTTCAACATTCATCTGTTTCTCGTACACAATTCAAGCCAATTGGCTAACCAGCTACTTGGCTAATAGAGAGAGAAAACTGGGTTTTTTAAAATAGTTCCAGGTGGTCAGCTGTGTTGGAACGAAGCAGTAGAACAAATTTAGCCTTATAAATTAACAGCCATAAATATTTGATTGTGTTCTCTTTTGATCCACCAGAGGGCAGTGGCAATTTGTAAATATGGCAATATTCACTCAGGGCAAGAATAAGTAAACTGCACAATACTGAGTGACATTTTATTGCTGATTTATTGTCAATAATAACTGTTGTGAGACATATATAATGTCATCAGACTATAAGCCAACCATTGGAAGTGTAATCTTTCCCGTTGACTTCACCAAGTTGGGACTGACATTTTCTGTTTCTGTGCAGGCAAGGTGGGGTATAAATCAAATAAATAAAATTTATAGCAAAGTTACAAGGCTGAGAAAGGATGCTTCTAGTTAAAGGTAAAGGTTCCCTTGCTCGAAAGCCAGTCGAGTCCGACTCTAGGGTTGCGGTGCTCATCTCCGTTTCAAAGCCGAAGAGCCGGCGCTGTCCGAAGACGTTTCCGTGGTCATGTGGCCGGCATGACTAAACATCAAGGCACACGGAACGCTGTTACCTTCCCACCGAAGTGGTACCTATTTATCTACTTGCAATTTCTTGCTTTCGAACTGCTAGGTTGGCAGGAGCTGGAACTAGAGACGGGAGCTCACTCCATCATGCGGCAACTCGGGTCTTGAACTGCTGAACTACTGACCTTCCACAGCCTGCAGTTCACCGTCTTAACCACTTGAGCCACCGCAGCTCCTTCAGAGTGGGTTACAGCATTCTTAAAAATATTCCATACAATTCAAACATTGCATTGTACGACCTGCTTAGAGGTGAGCTCAGGAAAAGGACACAAGAATGCCAGGTATTCAGAAGAGTATTTTATTTTTATTTTTTATTTCATTCAATTCATAGCCCTCCCTCCCCTGTACAACAGGGCTCAGAGTGGGTTAAAGGTAAAGGTTCCCTTGCTTGAAAGCCAGTCGAGTCCGACTCTAGGGTTGCGGTGCTCATCTCCGTTTCAAAGCCAAAGAGCCGGCGCTGTCCGAAGACGTTTCCGTGGTCATGTGGCCTGCATGACTAAACATCAAGGCGCACGGAACGCAGTTACCTTCCCACCGAAGTGGTACCTATTTATCTACTTGCAATTTCTTGCTTTCGAACTGCTAGGTTGGCAGGAGCTGGAACTAGAGACGGGAGCTCACTCCATCATGCGGCAACTCGGGTCTTGAACTGCTGAACTACTGACCTTCCACAGCCTGCAGTTCACCGTCTTAACCACTTTAGCCACCGCAGCTCCTTCAGAGTGGGTTACAGCATTCTTAAAAATATTCCATACAATTCAAACATTGCATTGTATTAGACCAAGTTCTTTCAGAGACCAGAAGTTAGTATTTTATCCAAATCATGCATGATAATGTTTGATTCTAACCAGTTTAATCCATAAGAGGCTTTTACTCATATAAAAGCTTGAAAAGCTATGTATGAAATGTGTTGTTAAGGCTTAAGGTTCAGAAGATAAATTCAAAAAGCTCATGATTTTGAAGTCAGCTCTATGATTTTAAAGAACTGACTGTTCTATTTTTGATTATTTTGATTTTACTTAAAATAAAAACATGCTTAAAACATTAGCACTCTTGCAATGTTTTGTTTATTTAACAGTGTCTGATAACTGACACCTCTTGCTCTGAATTATTACATCAAAATGTCTGTGCTGTTGCAAATTTGAGTATGCTGTTCAGGTGTGTATCTGTAAGCTGCAAACCTATGATGGCGCAGCAGTAGCAGAACTGGAAGAAGAAGCAGAAAACATCCAGTTCCACTACGGGCCTGATAGAAGCCCTGCGGGGGGCTCATCTGGCCCCCGGGCTGCATGTTTGACACCCCTGCCCTAGCCTATTGCATTATTCTTTGTATTTTCTATTCAGCTTCATTTGGTCTGGGATAGAACCTAGATGTGTACAGGGGAGGGAAGGCTGTAACATTCTCAGATGTACGGAAAGATCTCACTATCTGCTTCTTCATTACTATCATCTCCCTACAAAGTTTCTCACAGCCCATCAATATCTCTAAGGTCTGCACTTACTATTAGGAAAACTTGCAGAAGGTAATTCCCTGTTTTCTCACTATTTCCCTTTGTCCTTCACATTATCCCCAATTTGTAGCTAACATATATTGGGGGATACCTTGAGACAATTCCTTCTTACAGTCACTGGCCCAAGGTAATCCTTCAGATATGACCATCCTACTTTCTCCCTGGATGTTTTCAACACTGCTGGAATCGGAATCAATTCTATACATCTCACATTAGACCCTGATTTGAGAACCCTTTCCATTTTTTCAGCATCTGCTGTATTTCCCTTCTGTTCTTCAGGGATTGCCCATTGTCTCCACTCACTAGCACACTCAGTTTGAATTGGATGACTCAGATTTACTAACACACTGGGCAGTATCCTACCACTCCATGCACAGAACGCCTGTTCCCCCTGTGTTCCTCTCTCTGTGCTTGCAGCCCCTTCTGACCCCTGGAAAGATTATTCCCAAGGTGGCAGAACGGCAAGCAGGAGCAGCCATGCAGCTTGGGCTGGGGTGAGGAGGACAAGGAGGTGAAATGGTTCCTCCTCCTCCTTCTGCAAGTGTTGCTTCACTAAGGAAAGGAGTCCATGTCATCGCCTGGTCCCTCCTCATTCCATCCCAGCAGCCCTCATGGCTGTTCCTCTGCATGGATCCTGCAGTCCCAGAAAAGATCATTCTGGGGATCAGAGAGATTTGCTGGAAAGGAACATGGGGAAACTGTATGTGCTTTCTGCACACAGATTGTCAGATCCTGACAACTATGTTCTCCAGATTTTCTGCCCAGTTCCAGTCTTTGCCACCTGTGTCTTGTTCCCCTTTTCGTGGCATCACCCTGGCTGGTTTTCTTATTTACTTACCGGGGGGGAAAGACTACATGCTGTGTTTCTCAACAGCCGCCAAAAATCACTCCTTAAAATCCAGTTAGACTTTCAGTTTTAAATCTGCAGCTGACAAGACCTTTGGCCGTCAATCTTTTTCAGTTAGAAAAAAGCAAAGGTTAAAGGATAGTGTTTATCTTGGATTTTCTTGAACAACAACTAGAACCCAAGTCAATGGCTCTATTCAGACAGCCCTTGAGAATACAATTTAATTATACCAACTTTGGTTAGTGTGAATGTCTGAATGGAGGCCACTCTACTAACTATGGTTAGTCAGTGTCCATCAAACCATCATCTGAAGCCAGGATCTGAAGCTGGGGTTTTTTTTTCCTTTCCTTTTCTTTTCTTTTTTGTAAACCAGATTTCGTTTTCTTGACTATGGTTTTGTATAACATCTGAATGCAGACATCCTGTCTTGTTCTTTGGTGATATCTTCTCAGGCAACAGAGAAAAGGAAATGAAACCAGCAGCAATTGCTGAGGGAAATCAGTGGTGACTGCCTGTGAGCTAAATCCTGGTGTCACAAACTAACCATAGTTAAATCATGATTTTGCATTCTGCCTGACCTGAGCCTAAGTGGATAGATATCTTAGTCAGCTTTCCGGGGGATTCATATCTGAACATATCACCAATAGCTCACATGGTCTACAACTCAGC